TAATGATAAATATCATATTGTGTGTGTGTGTGTTTTAGGTGCACTTTGTAGCACAGTTAATGTGCTAAAAATGTCATCAGGTTGAATCTTAGCTTGGTTTTTAGTAAATCATATATATTACAACTGACCTACAATGACCTGGATGACTGAGAACCTTCACAGACAGTAAATCATATATATTAATTCTTGTACAATAAATCCCAATAAATTTCACGGTCACCTAGTCAAGATTTGTGAGTCATTTTATTATATTTAGCTATAGACTGTCACACCTAAAATGTATCACTGCTCATCTACGACAACTAAATGAAAATGTGATTATTCATGCTTATTCATACTGAACTTACCCTCCACTTGGTAGACTTCACACTCAGTCAGGTTGAGATCATTGCCATGCATTTGTGCAGCAGGGAAGTTGTAAATATTTCCTGGATTGCTGTATGCTACTGCTTGGCTTGCATTGACAAGAACCAGTGTTTCTCCAAAATAAGGCCCAGAGTTAGCTATCATTTTCACTGCATGTGCAGTACTAGTAACTGGATATTTGATGAGGTTTTCACAATCAAAGGTAAAAAGAAAAGCCTGATCATCATTCACGTACTGTCCAGACTGACTAAAAGGTTGTTTGGTGTAGCCTCCAAACACAAAACCAGAATTGTTGTAGCCCACAGACACAGTGGGAGAGCGGTTGTCACATCTTTGGTGAAATGCTGCACCGGTGAAGCCGTGGATGCTGGCCTTGTACAACAGCTGTAGTTTGACTCTTCCCAGCTGAGCGCAGATTGTTCTCTGCTGGCTTTGTGTTAGTCTGGGGTTCATAGTGGACTTGGACTTCTGAACTGAGTAAAGGACAGTGAATGAATTTGTGGAGCTCATTGAACCAAAACAGACACAAATGGTCAAAACTACATTGTTTTAAACCACACAAACTTAAAGCAACACTACAGCAGGATTAGAATTTCCAAGTCATCAGCATTAGAATTATTCATGTTATTCTTTCTTATGCATTTCTTGCTGAAAACTTGGTGATAGGAAAGCCTGATTTAGTTTACCACAGATCCCTTTGTCATGTCCTTCATATTTTGTCTCTCTGCTTCTTTAAAATACTAAATATCCTCAGATTATTATTATTAATAATAATAATCACAAGAATAAGAGTAAGATGCACAGTACCACAGCATGATATGAAGCATAACTTTGTATTTCGTGGTAAACCACACCCAGCTTATAAACTGTGCCAAATAGTTCTCCTACTTCTTCATCAGTCATTTACCCCATTTTTACTGGTTGCAGGTACTTTTAGAATATTTTCATACATGTTACTTAAATAAATAAATCAGCGAACAATAATTACACTATTATTCATTAATTAACTACCAATGAACTACATCACATGGCATTCATAATCTAATCAGAATCAAAATCTTATCAATATGCATCTCTTTAATAATTTCAGTTTTACCTCCTGTTATAGAGAGCTGAGGAAAAAAAGAGAAGAAATCACAAATGTCTTGTTCAGATGTGACAAGCAGTTTAAGGCCGGCAGAAACGAAACCGAAAGTCTCAGACTGGAACACGCTGGATTTCAAAATAAAACACGGTGTCCGCTGGCTTTTCAGTTTAAAACACATATAAAACAAACCCAGGGGCCACACATCATAAATTATTTAGACTTTTGCTTACGTTTTATGAGGGGTCATTGTTCTTCATACTAGTGATAGTATGAAGATAGAGTGAAGTAAACCACATTAACATAATTAGATCGATTAAACAGCGACTTGCTCAGAAGGAGGTGAGTGTTAGAGCATTTGATAATTATTTATTAATTCAACAAGAATTCTCCCCAAAGAGTGAAAATCAACAATAAGAAAACTATAAGAGTGGAGAAGCCCAGACTGCCCTCTGGCTAGGGAGATTTACATCTGAAAATGTAAACACTCATCTCTTCCTCTAGGTCCAAGTTAACCTTTGTGATAACTTTATTCAAAGCAGTAATGGAGATGGAAGAGAGAACAATGTACACTGGGTAATGCTGTGTAACGTGAGGAAGGCCGTCTGTGCAGGGTGAGGATGACTGAACCACATAAATTTCATTTTTATGCTGTGAAAGAAAAAATTGAAAGCCCTGAGTGAATGTCAAAAGCTTTAATACCGTATTTCTGAATCACATTTGTGTTGCATTTAGAATTATTTACCTATGTGCAGCGTTTTGTTGTTGTTAAAGCTTTCACAAAAATGGCAAAATCACACAAACAAAAGTTTTAAAACAAACCCATTTTTTAAATGAAAACACTGAAACATAAGTGATTATCGATATGTGAATGTTGACTTTTTTCTTATTATGAGAAAAGCATATGCCAAAGCTTATAGTCAAAACTACTAAGAAGCAGCTTAACCTCTTCCATCGTTCCAGGGCCAACTGTTTATTATCTGCCAGGAAACAGTGTAAACAGTGAAAAGGAGAATTTACCTGCTATTAAGAACTGTTTGATGAGGTGGAGACACTTTGAAAATGTGTTTATAGTTGGGCCAGTCCAAAAGATGATGAATAAATAAAGGGCAGATTAGGCATTATTGGCTTTGCTTGTGTTTTCTGTTTTTTGAGCAATAAACACTGAGGTGGCAGATTTATTTTCTCATGTATTAATCACATATTTAATCATATCACATTAGTTATAGTAATAACACTTTCTCACTTTACTATAGTAAGAGCACTCCTGCCACTAGTTTACATGCATGGGGAATGTTAACACAGTGAGGCCATTATAATGGGAGACGTTAAACAGATAGTGGGACTCCTTCTGCTTATCAGGGGTGTAAATCCTTAGGTGATGGCCAAGCAGAAAACAAGGTCATAATTCTCTCTGTGAGGGAGAAGGTATAGAAACTGACTGTTTGGACTATTGGAGAGAGTCAGCTTTGCCATAAGAGCCTATCCTTTGCTCTTTCTTGTGGTCTTCATCTGTGCTCCAAATGATTTCTGCCCACCTTGTCAAATAATCTTATTTTTCAGCCTCATTAGACGAGTACTGTCCTCTTACTGGGGGTCAGTTGGTGTTTCAACTGAAGAAAATGCTTCAGTATCGTGAAACAAGAGAAAACAAAAGCTCACTGAACACTAGGACTTCTGTATTGTATCAGTCTTGCTGTTTGGTCTGTGAAAGTTTGTGACAAAGCTGGAGAAAGTTCCCTGTCAATTATGTGCATGACACTGATATTTTAAAGACCATTTCAAATGTGCTCATTTTGAAGTTACTTTGCAGCTCATTGACTAATGATAATGTGACTTCACACTCAATCAGGTTGAGATCATTGCCACACATCTCTGCAGAGGGGAAGTTGTAATAATTTCCTGGATTGCTGTACACTACTGGTTTGCTTTCGTGGGCAAGAACCAGTGCTTATCCAAATTAGGACCCACAGTTAGCTATCATTCTCACTTCATTTCCAGGACCAGTAACTAGCTATTTATCATTGAAGGTAAAAAGAAAAGCCTGATCATCATTCACGTACGGTTCAGACTGACTAAAAAGTTGTTTGGTGTAGCCTCCAGAAACAAAATCAGAGTTATTGTAGCTCACAGACACAGTGGGAGTATATTTGTGACATCTTTGGTAAGATACTGAAATACTGAACCACTGAAACCATGGATGCTGGCCTTGTACAGCAGCTGCCACTTGACTCTTACTAGCTTGGGATTCATAGTTGTAAGTGATAAACCTGCAGTCTGCTGAGACTGAAGAAGTCACTTGGATGAGTGACGAAATGTTCCTCCCACTGAAAACGCTACGTCCAGATGACCAACTTTTGGGGATTTACTTACCTGGATGATTGAGCATACATCAAAACATTTAACAGTGTTTCCTGAATACCCTCTCTTGTCTGATCATTTCCTGTTAACATTTACAATGATTGATTACACAGCAGTGAGAAGTAGACTTCATCCCAGTAGATGTCTTTCTGAATGGACTGTAACTAAGTTAAAGGATAAAGTTCACCCACTGTTATCATCTTTAATGCCCTGTACCAACACAGTGCAGAACAGCTACCTGAATCCCACTCCCACAGATGTTGATTATCTTGTTAATAACTCTTTTTTCACTATATACGTCTATGGATACCGTAGCTCCTCTGAAAAGTAAGCCGCAAATCAGAAGAACTTGACTCCCAGGTATAACGCTCAAATCTTAGAACAGATAACTCGTAAGCTAGAGAGGAAATGGCGGTACGGCAGATGTGTGGCCCTCCAAGTACGTTCCTTCTGCAAATATACCCCAAACCTGTAGGGCTGTCGTGGCTTCATGTATGGTTGTGGTGGCGTCCACGGTCCATACTCAGATTGTCTGTGAAAACATTAGCCCAGATAGCAGACAGGTCTGGCCCAGATCTGGTATCAAGCCAGCACTGCTGGCTGACTTCTGGCATGATAAGACGTTTGTCATCCAGATATGGGCCAGGGCTGGCATAGATGGCACTGTTTATGTGATGGCATGCCACATCTGGTCCAATTGTGGTTTGGTTTATGTGGCCCAGGCTCATAGAAAACAGGTCTGACCCGGATCTGGCATCAAGCTGGCACTTCTGACTGACTGGTGTCATGGCAGGGTGTATGTCAACCAGATGTGGGCCAGGTCTGGCAACGATGGCACTATTTATGTTGCTATTTTCCTATTTTAGTCAGAAGACTCAAAATGCCATGTTGCAATACTATACTGCTATATGGTAGCCAACGTTTCAAATGCAGGTTTGACAGGTTTGTGAGTGTACACTTTATCCAAAACTTACTCATGTTTACTGCTGGGTGGCTGTAGCTCAGGAGGTAGAGCAGGTCACCTACTGATTGGAAGGTTAGTGGTTTGATCCCTGGCTCCTCCAATCTGCAGTGTGAATGTGTATGAATGTAGTTAGGAAGCACTCAGTTTAGAGAAAGTGTGTGATTGGATTAGTGTTGTATCGAGTACTTTAAGTAATTCGGGAGAGTAGAAAAGCATAATATAAGAATCTGTCCATTCACTGTCTGATCAGATTTTTGTCATGTTACTTTTGCACTATTATGTTCCGGCACATGTTGTTAATACATGGCTTGATTAAGGTACACATTAGGCTGACATCTGGGGCCAGAGCTGAAACTGTTCTGGGCCAGCACAGGGCCAGCAGTGTGTCTGCAACTGGCCTTGTGATGGCCTTGTGATGGCCCATGTGTGGGTCACCTCTGGGAAACCAGATCTGGGCCACCAAAGGGCCATCATTCTTTGCGGTATGTGGGCCATGTGTAAGCACATTGTGTGGGTCAGATGCGGGTCAGATGCGGGCCATACCAATTTTGCTATGTGGGAGGAATCCACGACAGCCATACAGGACTGTTTTGACAAAACGGTTTGGGGTATATTTGCAGAAAGAACAGACTTGGAGGGCCACAAATCTGCCGTACTCTCATACATCAACTTCTGTACTGACAGTGCAACAACAACAAAAACTCTTAAAGTCTTCCCAAACCAGAAGCCATGGCTCAACAAAGAAGTGCAAGCTCTACTAAGAGCATGTGACAATGCCTTCAAATCAAAGTGCAAATACAAACAGTGCCTCAGGGGAACATTTTAGCACAAACAACTCCAGAAACATGTGGCAGGGGATCAAGAGACTCA